GTTATATTGCTCCATGTGAAAGAGCACTTAGCGTTAGAGTTGTGATTGTCAAGCAGTGACCTTTCTGAAGACTTTGGCCAAGTTAATATATCTGTGTGTTTGGTTAGGTATGAAAAATAACCCACCAAGCAAAAACACTTATATTACATTTGCAACATTGCAGTCAATCCCCAAACAGTTTGCTTTGTAATGTTAATTTCTAAACGTTGTGACGTGATTGATGAAACCTTGCTACAGAAACATTGTTTTTGAATGATGATTAAAACGTTTTTTCTGCAACATTGCAACAAAGATTCAAATGAAAGATCCGCGCAAGTTAATAATAATTAATAATATAACAAATATACCATAAGATCGAAAAAAACGGTGTCTAGTTGGCTTGGAAATGAATATCGATGACATTCCCCATATAATTTTACATATGACAGCGATTTTCTTTTCATAGCCATCGTTGACGCATTTTTTTATCATACGGTATAAGTTAAGTTAGGTAAACGCACTTGTTTTTTTACGTTTTTGGTATCATGTTTTATGCTTTTGCAATGAGATTTTAATGAATGTAAATGTAAGTATAATTTTATTATCATGTCTGTTTTAATAATGCTTAGCCATGAATAAGTATAACAAATTTTGTTTAGTTTGTTTATAAGCTAAATTTTGTTTTAGGTTAGCTTTTAGCCAACTGAAAATTGAAGTAGATAAAACCAGGATACGAGTATATCAATCTAATGAATAAATCACAAATAATATGCAGTCCAAACCAAACCAAACCAAACCAATAATCAACGAGAATATTCGTATAATTTAATAAAATTACTGTAAATCACTATAAATAATGAATTGTTTGAAATTAAACTGTAATTTATGTATTATTAAGTAATCCGGTAAATGATGGAGATAAACAATAATTGTAATTAATTAAAATTTTATTTTAAGATGAAATTTTTGTTAACAACATTCTGAGAATTCGAATAATGACAAGACAAGTGACATCTGTCTAAAAAAGACAGCGATTTAGAGTGACAATTTAGTTATGTAAAAAAATACAATTTTGATTATGCAAAAGAAATACATATTCTATGAGTTTGCTTAATAAATAATATTAATTTAAAAATAAATTCCAAACATGAATAATAAACAAAACATTTAAACAAAAACAGACCACAGACCACGCAAAACAAATTGTTGGTTAGTAGCAATTAGTAGTAGATCAGAGATATAGATGTTGTAGTATTTTGGTTTCATGGCCACAGCTTCCAGGCTATTCGGGCGAGTGATAGAATTATCGTTTTTTAATAAACATTAAAAAAAACATTATAAAATTATAAAGCTAGAATAGTGTACGGTTTTATATTAACTCCATTTGTTTTTGTTTATAAAAATCATTAATAAAAAATATATATCCTTCAATTTTACAGTTGTTAGTATAGAAGTTTCACTTCAAATATGAAAAGTGTTACTTCTTGCGACCTATTTTTACTCCATCTAAGTAATATTTATATTACTCCGCTTCTTCAACTATCTAAAGTTATTCAAGACCACTCAAAAACAACTTATGCTTTATCAAATAAACCCTAACGAAACCCCCATTTCCCTACTCTTACCTACCACAAAAGCCCGAATGATGAACGACTATTGTATTTTCTAAATCCCGTTTTGCGTCGAAAGTTTGGGTAGAAATTGTGTCTGTCGTCGCTAAGGCAGAAGAGAAATAGAACCACTGTAAATTCGTATTATCCTCTAAAGTGGAACTTACCGACTACGTTGTTCCAATTTTTAATGTTTGTATAGTCCAAATATGAGGGGTAGTAGATCATTAAAGGATTTAAAAGACAAATTTGTGTCAAATTTTAGAGAAGTGGTGAGTGAAACAATTCGCGTTTACGAGGACATTGTGTCTATATAAATTAATTATCTTCCATGTCAGTACGAGACCTGTTAATGATAAAACTAGAGGTAAAATATTTATAGAATTGTCTACTTAGGTCTTTGAATAAGTAAGTGTATAATGAGTAAGATCCCAGAACAATCAGACATAACTTATTTTCATAAGAATCTAACCTTAGGCTTTCAGTAGTGCTCTAATATGCTTTGAATACCGGCATGTTTGTGGGGTTCGCCCTGTGATACCTTGGCAGATACCAGGTGAGAAAGGTAACTAAAAGAAATAAATTAACTTTACTAATTTTTACATGTCTGAGTTTTACATCAGTTATTAAGACAGCTATTATAAAGTTATATTCATGGCTGGGAAACTTAAATGGAAATGACAGTTCATTAAAAATAGTTTTTCCTCCAAGATGCAGAGGCGCAAAATATTAAAACATTCAATTAACAATGCAAATGTCAAAATCTGACAATAATAAAATTTGATTTTTAACTGACACGAGACACTAAGAGACGCTTTTGTTGTGATTTTACGGTTTGATTTCGTTTTGATTTGTCGAATTATTGTAAAATTAAATTCCTTCAGATTTTTTGGCAATATTCTGTTTTAGACAATGTTTTTTTTAATGGTAGGACAATTTGTGTTTTGTATAGACTCTTAGTTATTTTTTATCATGGAGTATAATTGTTGTACACCGGGTTTCCGAAGGATACAATGGTAAGTAAATTAAATATATCTACTTACAGTTATAGATTTTTTTAATTAGCACCGCTAATAAATGCTACTTGCTGAGCAGTTATTTATTTTTTTTACGGTGCATTTAAGGAATTAAGGACGCGCGTTGCGTTATATTTTCATGATCAGCAGATGATTAAATCTAATTTAATTAAACGGAAACAAACTGGGAATCTTGCCTACACCAAAATTATATAGCCGTTTCCAATTCACTTCAAAGGCAGGAAAATTATGTAAAACTGCCTGCTATTTGCTGAAAACCGCCAAAGATTAAATTATAACTGTAACAAGTTAATATATACTATTACGTCTTTTTAATATTTTTTTAATTAATATCGGACATATAAGAACACTTTGTATGCTTTTAATTAAGTTGATTTATCGTTTATAACATGTTCGACTTAATTAAAAGCACACAAAGTGTTCTTACATGTATGTATAAATTTAATTTAAATTAATTAAAACAACCCCCCTTCCCCGCGCCCCTTTCTTCCCTTAGTATTTCTTCCTTCGACTACCAGAGGCGCCCTTGTATAATAAAATTGAAATGTATTATAAGTTCCCTATCTATTTAATATTATAAGTCTTTTATCTAAGGTTATATTTAATCAGTCAGACAGATTGTAATGACATCCTCTAAACACAAAAATTATTTAGCCGTGACTATGAGCGCGGGAGAACAATGCGTTTCCGAGTAAAGTATTTAAATATTTTAAAAATACTTACTGCTTTCGATTTAATATTTTTGCATTTCTATTTAAATAAGATTAGTTGTAAAAGTGAAAACAATACATACTTATGGAGCCGATCGGCCGACTATTTGATTGCATGTGAGCACGGTTCCATAAGAATTATATTGGTTACAAATCTGCAAATAAATAGTCGGCCGACTAAGAATTGCATATCAACCCCAGGCTTATTTTCCAATATTTCCTTTTGCAATATCCAAACTATTTAAAAACGTAAGTCAGAGAATTCAAGCTGTCTTTTTAGAAAATATGCGATAATTGTTTTGAGTAGTTTATGTGCAATAAATTAATTTACTTTAATAATTATTAATTATTACTTTAATAAAAAAGCTCATCTTATTTAAATAGAGATGCAAAAATCTTAAATCGAAAGCAGTAAGTATTTTTACTGGGAAGCGCATAATAGTTTTCTCCCGCGCTCATAGTTACGGCTAAATAATTTATGTGTTGAGAGGATGTTTGGTCATTACAAGCTATCTTAATAACATATATAAAAATCAGACATGTAAAAATCAGTAAAGTTAATTTATTACCTTTCTCACCTAGCATCTACCAAGGTGTCACAGGGCGAACCCCACAAACACGCCGGTATTCAAAGCACATGAGAGCACTACTAAGAGCCTAAGGTTTGGTTTGGTTGATACTTCTTATCTTAACTATAATGATATTTTGATATAATGTTATCTTGAACTATAATGCTATTCATGTATTCGCGCATGGTCGACGGAAATAGGACTCTAGGGTGGGGATCATTGACAGTTCTGTTTGACGATTCATTTGACACATTTGAACTTAATTTCAAATTTTCTGAATTTGTCAGTCATTACTGAGCTTTTTTGTTATTTATTATTTTTATTCTACTACTGATAGTTGCATAAAGGTAGTTAATCTAGAAGGAAATAGTGGCAGAACTTAAATTAACAGTGACACTATTGCGATTTATTGAAAAAGACTGTAAAATAGTTGGTTGTGTAGCGTACCGTAGATCTCGGTCAAAATTCGAGTGAAATAATGGAATAATTTTTCGCTAGTAAGTGACTATATAATATACACATACGTGTAGTAAACCGATCATTTATGAAATTCACTTAAAATTAACTAATTATGTTTTTTCTTGTACTTTTGCTTTTATCTACTACTTGTCAAAGATTAGATGTCAAAGAATTTAGATACGTCAATTTGACTTACCTGCTTCAGAAGCGTATTGGATGTTTGTGTTAATAAATAATTATTATAACTTATCTATTTTTATTAGAATTATATATTTTATAACAATTTTAATAACTCCCAACATTTATTCACAACGTAAAATAAAACAACAAATTATTGAGTCTACCCCACATCATAGTTTTATGCGTTTTGTTTCTTTTTATTCAAAAAGATTTGTCAAACTCTTGCCAAATTAAAGGTTACAATTTGTGTCAAATTATGTTAAATAATCTCCGTTCTGAAAAATCGTAAACATTTCCGTTCCAATTGTACCAACTTGTTTCTTTGTGAAAGAAAATAAACTAGTATCAAATTAAAATGACAGACGCGCCTCTTACTGTCAAAGATTTTGTCATGGGACAGGCTATAGTATTAAGTGAAATTTAGCAGTGGTCACATATTTTGTATTATAATCTTACCTATGCCAACACCTCCTTGATCACCGTAGAACTCAACGCCATTTCTTAGAGCTTCAACGTCCCCTATCTGCTCTTCCCCTCTCGATCTGACGTCCTCCCCATCTCCTGCTCTGCGGTATCGTATACTCTCAGTTCCATTTATTAAATCTGGATTTTGCTCCAGCTGATACCTGAAACACAAGAAAATATTGACCAGACCATGACGTTTAGTCTCTGTAATCACCTTTAGAATACAGTACAAGAATTCCAGTAAATGGCATTTTTTACTATAAGAAATGTATCATATGTTTCAATATTATGAAAAATCTTTTAGTGTTACATGGTCAAGAAATATTGTTTTTTCCATAGCAACTGTTAAACTTGCCTTATATCTATCAAAAATACTAGATTAAATAGTACTTTAACCGCTAGGGTAGATTAAATGATACTTTAACTTATTTCGTTATTTATTTATTTCGTTTTGAGCCCTTTCTGGCTTCAATCAGCAATGAACACGAAAGAGAATTAAAAATATTGACTCAAAACTGACAACTAAAGACACAGCTTTATTAATTTGTCAAATTACATAAGAACCAACGCCAACCCAGCACAATATTTTTTCTACTCGTAATAAATTCCTTGAAATAATAATTTCTGAATATTTTTTAAAACGTAACTCGCTATGGAATTAAAATATTGTTTTATACACGACGATAAAATTTCATTATCGTCTCCCGAAATTAATTCACTTGCGATTTCATCGTTCGTGAATATCTTTTCGGCCGATGATACTATACCATTTTATCGTCTTGTATAAAAAATAATTATTTATTAAACTTTCATTGAAAATATTTGCGATAAATAAAAATGATATATATTACAATGAGATGCAAAAAAAACTTCAGTATTTGACTTATTATACAGGGTAAATCGAAGAGTTGTTTTTTACCCTATATTTAAAACACCCTGTGCAATGTATTTGCAACTTCACTAACAGTATGAACCGATATGTATAGACAATTATTACAGAAGCAAGTTAAGTATTATAGTATTTTTTATAAGTTTTTTGTTTCTTTGTATGTACACTTAGTACAGTTATTTTTTTAATATATTTAGTTCTGTTAGTGTTACTAATATTTATTAAAACCAAGCCTGTGTATCGTTACTCTTTAACGTCTTTTAAGTTTTAATATAGAGTTATAATCAGTATCGATATGACAATACGACAATAGTAGTAATCAAAACCACCTCGTCATATTAAAAAATAACATAAAAAAATTATAATAGTTTAAAAAATTGCAAATTGTTAGTGGAAAATTTATTTTGCTCTTAAAAACATCCAGGAGTGTCTAGACATGAGTCAAAAACAAAATGCCCAAAGACATGGTTCTGGTCGAAAGATAATATTTTAGGAAAAGTTACTCACGAAATTATTGCACAGTGTGTTTTATTAGGATAAAAAACAATCCTTCATTTATTCCTTCCTGTACAATAAGCCAAATACTAAAGTTTATAAAAAACTGAGTTTATGAATTGAAGCTGATAGATTTATATACAGTTTGCTAAAGAAATCATGAAAATAGGGCTAAAAGTAAAAACAGTTTAAACTTGACAAAAAAGATTCTGTTGCGTTTCATTAGACGATAATTATTTCTGATATAAAAATAATTTTCTTATGATCTATCCATAGAACAGTGACAGTATGATCCAGAAATGGCAGTACATTTGTTACCTGTAACTTTAATTTCAAAGCAAATTGTATTTTTTATTCCTTGCTCTTGTTGGATGTTTAATTTAAAAGTTTCTTTTTACTATTTAACTTAAATATAAATAATGATCGTACGTTACTCCTGCGATAACGTCAATTTCAACTTACAAAACGTGTAAGCAATAAACGCTAACCCCGAAAAGCACACTGAAAAACAGATTCTAGGTCCTTTCGAGATTCCCCTGCCTTTTAAAAATGCATGTTTGGTTTATTTGTGGCAGGCGTCGTATATATCCCAACCTTTCTTATGCTTTCCCATGTACGATAAATATTGGATTAAAGTTTCACTCGATAAATTTTTCAGTAGCTAAACGAGTAACAGAGGATTTTTTTATTTAAAATGTAGACAAGTAATTTTATTAAGCTAGAGAATAATTTAATAGTTATGTAGACTTTTCAACAATTTTTAAACGCAGTGAGTCCAAGGTTATGGACAAAATACTAACTATAGCTATCAAATAAGCTGCACTGGTACTACAGATAAATCTTCTGCATATCATAAACAATATGGGAAATACTTTTGATATTATATACAATGACTAAAAAACACAAGGACAAGTAACGCCCATATACGGGCTGCAGCAGAATATGTGATGTTAGACGCCATTTTTTTGGCTGTAACTAATGAGTCATCAGCTAGTTATCAGCGACAATTTTTAGCGATTTTTAATAGTTTGTGTGTAGTGAACTTTGTATAAACTTTATTACAATGGTGATTAGTTGTTCAGCTTTTAACTGTAAATGCCCCAGATAAGAAAGAGCCAGGAGTTACGTTTCTTAGGTAAATAAAGACTCCACTCCACCTTTTTAGCTTTTTTTATTGAATTGGATAATTATTTTTTTGATATTATATGTACTACTTGATATGTGCTGTACGTCGATACTAGTTTTGTACCTTTTATTAACATTTTAATAAGATTTTTTCGTATTTAATTAGTAATGATGATAAATTAAAAATATTAACATCTCTTCAATCAGCTATGCTAAGAAAAATATGTGCTACGGCACTGTTTGGATGTATGGTAATAATTCGGTCTCGGGTGTTTTTAATCCTTGTATTCTTTTATCACTGATTATATATCTTAAAAAAACAGAGCCGGACTTAAAATTAGTTTAAATCAACTGTGTTTAAGTGCTCGAAACAAGGTGAGAAATATTAAGTGTGACATATTCTTGTACTCAGGAGACCCAATTGTTTCAAAACATGAAATAAAAAATGCAGGTCCGTATTTAAAAAAATCAAGTTGACTATGAATCTCACTTTGAAAATCTAAAAATACTATCAGGTAGCCTTGGCAAAGCGGTTATCAGAATGTGGGATTAGTTTTAGAATTTTAATTTTCTAAAAACAGTTTTTTGTGTCAGTGTCTAAAGACAGTTTTTTTCTAAATAACTGATGCATAGGTTTTAAAGCGTTTAAGTCAGTTAGTAATTGAATCACTGAATGTCACAGTAAAAATGTGCTTAAACATCAATTACCTTCTTAGAGATAAAGGACTGACTGATTGATTTCGACTGGCAGTTCTAACAGGAGACATGTTCTTGCTGTATTGTTCATTGCAGGCTCTGATTCCATACAAAACCAGTTCCTCGGATTCTGTTGTGCACGTTGTGGTTTGAGTAGTAGGAGTTATGTTCTGTTTCAGTTGAGGTTCCAATGGCGAAGAAGAAACCGACTTAGCAGCTAAAATAAATATATAGAGTCATTGTTAGAGTTTATAGTATAGAGCAGAGAATTGATTGCTAATATCTGATACAGTACAGGTCCATTATATCATTTGTTTCGAGGTTTACAAAAAAAATATAAAAGTTATAGAAAAGGTTAAGGTACACATTTTTAAATTATTACAAAGTGCTTCAAAAGTGGCTCTAAAACCGCCTATAACTTTTTTATTTTTTCAGATAAAAAACAGAGATTTGATATGTTAGTCTATGACATAAATTAGGATTGATTGACGTATTCAATTGTTTACGGTCACTTCCTATTTCACCGGAAATGAATACAAATTTTGATTTTTAAATGTGACCCTCTATGGTACAAAATGACAAGTGTTTTTTACTTTTTTAAAATATGCTAATGAGCCACCCTTGTTCCATTTGAAAAAATTGAGATGTGATTAAAATACGATTTGGGCATCTTTTAACCAGTCAGGACAAGACACGAAAAATCTTAAGGCGGATTCTCACGACTGGCGTACTTGACAAGTACGCCAATATTTGCGTACTTGGCAAGTATCCCCACCAGTCCCGACTTTGTACTACATTGGCAAGTGTACTTGGCAAGTACGCCAATATTTGCGTATTTGCCAAGTACCCCTACAATCCTTGGTAAGTAAACAGTATAGTCGCATCGATGGATACTGGTCGTCCCGAAATTGTCGTTACTAGTGATTTTTTTTTCTTTTTAAGTTCTTTTACTGTACACTGCATACGATTTCTATGTTCTTTATGTTTGGCCATCCATATGAAGGGCTCATTTTCGTATAAATCCATAAATTTCAAAACAACATCATTTGAAGACTACACGGGAAAACCCAGTTTTGTCCATTTTAATTGGAGCCGAGAAAAATGCAATTTAGTGTTTTTAAAGAAATATGTTATTTTCGGTTGAATAATTAGAAAAATATTTATATTACTACCAATTCTGAATTATTAATATTGTGAATTATCGCCATATTCTGAAATATTAAAATAAAAATCTAAATAGATAATCTAAAAAAAATAGTCAAAATGCAAAACAAAACGGGAAAACCAGAGATGTTCAATTAATTAAAGGTTGTATAAAACCTAAATCTAAACTATTATTTTTTTGTTGAAAATTAATATTTAAATAATACATAAATTTATAACATATTGATAACCAAAAAAAAAAAATTCCATATATACGTACATAAATTAATTACGTATGTGTATACCTTTAAGATTGTTACATAAGGTTAATATTTTTCTATCTATCGTGTCAGATGATGTTTTTGAGAGATTTGTTGATTCATCTATGTTTTTCGGTCAGTCGAGATTATTGTTGTTTATTGTAAGCTTCGGCAAGTTTCGCGGGGAATAAATTTGTTTGTGTTTTTGATTTTCGAAGTTTATTTTCTGTAATATCCCTTGTTTTAATAATACTAATTGCAAGATGCATGCTTGTCGCCCATGCGTAAGTACATCTCTGGTTTTTGCCATTTACGCGTGGACTACTTTGGTTTTTCCTTTGTACGGCAAAATAACCAAGCTGTAATATCTCTGGGACTAAGCGTATTATTGCTTTCTTTTTTCGAATGACGTCTATAAAGTTGTATCGCTATCTTAATTTCTATGAAAATGTGACATATCTGGTAGCGATATTTGTCCACTCCATTTATTGCTGTGAAAACGATTTAGGTATGTCGCCAATATTGAAGTTATTAATGTAAATTTGATATTACATAATCTATTATTGTTTTACCGTTTTAAATTATCCGCAATTAACTCGAAAAACACTACGATCCGGAAATAAATCGGACATACGCTATAACTGGCTGGCCCAGGCTGGCCAATGTTTGGCAAGTGTACGATTAATCGTTTGACTCGGGCTATATTTACCGACAGAGAGTGGGGACGCGACAAGTGACCAAGGAACCCGTTCTCACGACATGGCAAGTATATTCCAATGACAAATGTTTGTCAAGTACGCCAGTCGTGAGAATCCGCCATTAGACGACCAAATCTATTTCTCCAATGCTTCTTGATTAAAAATTAGTGTTTTTAACACAGCTATGACACTCTAGATTAAAGTTTAAAATACTATTTTTTAAGCGAAAATGTCAAAAGTCGACATATGATATATCATTCTATTCAGAGTGTCATTTTTTATCGAACAAAGTAAAAATATACCGGGGTCCCATTTAAAAATTAAAAATTGTAGCCATTTCCGGTAAAATAGAAAGTGACCAAAAACAATTCAATCCTTTCAATCAATCCTAATTTATGTCATATACTAACATACCAAATCTTGTTCTTTTTTTATCTGAAGAAATTATAGGGGTGAGCCACTATTGATACGCACCCGGTATATGTTTATTAAATGCAACACCTTATTTTTAATTTTAATTTTAGATTCTGCGTAAAATTTTCTAATTTTTTTTATATACAATATTATAAATATACCTATAATATACCTAAAGTTATTATATAATATACTTAAAGTGAATAGTTTTTGTAATATTTAAATTTGTTTGTTAGTATTCAGTATGGTAAAATTTTTCAGTGTGTTTCTAAAGCTGGACTACTAAAATTTGATTGGAGAGTTTTGTAGAGGTGAAGAAAAATATATACATAAATATATTTTAGTTTGATACTACAGAGTGTTCAAAATATATTTGTGAATTTCAATTATGTACTAAAAATTAAAGAATCTCAAATTTTTTAAATGGCACACCATGTGATGATAGATTTTATTCTAATAAAAAATATTCTACCGGCTAGAATTAAAAATTCAACCCTGGACAGTCGGATGTGACACATCGACGCTCAGTTACATCTTCTTAACGCAATATTTTATTATATTATTTTGCAAGCTTAGAACACTCTAAACAATATAAAATTATTTCAACATTAAATTGTCAAGAAAACAAATAGAGGAAGGAAATGGTCCAATTTAAGAATAAATCAAATTAAATCACTTTAAAAGTAATGTCCAGTAAATGTCCTGTAGTACTTTATTCTGAAACGGTTTGAAACTCGATCTTGCTGAATTATTAAACGTACTTTGTATCTAAATGTAGTCGTTTCAAATCGATCGAAAAATTTACGACCAAATTATAAGGTTTTATGGAACAAAATGTATCGTAGATGTGCATTTAGAAAATAACCCAGACATTACCGTAAAACTCGGGATCTATCACCCACTAAACTCAAACAAGTTCCTCTCATGGGATATTATCATACGACAAAGAAGAGACAGATACAGGGTGAGTCTTAAAGAAGTGCAAATATTTTTAGGGGTAGTATATTTAGACCCATAAACACGATTATGAGGTTTTTTTCGCGAAGAAAACATTTTGAAAATTTGGAGTTTTTTGAAAAAAAATTTGGAAATTAATATATATAATTTGTAAGTAGTATATAAACATAGATAGTAGATTAAATGTATAAGAAAGAAAATCCAGAAAAGATCCAGTGGTTTCTCAAAATTTTAGCAAAAAATCATTTTTTTGGAAAATATATCGGTTATTTTAGATTTATTTGAAAAACGGTAAAGAGGAAATATGTTTGTTTCATCGAGATCTACCAGCCCTGAAAATATTTGCACTTATTTAAGACTCACCCTGTATAATGCAGTAATTATATTTATTTATTTATTGGTTTGAATTTTAGGTTCCGAGCCAGCTCTTTTAGTTTAGAGGATATGCTAAACACCAAAATTAGGCTAAAAATAAATATTCTCTAAAATAATTTATTGTTATACAGGGTGTTTTAAAAAGCATGTGCCATCTTTAGTGGGGAGATTCCTCACGAAAAAATAAGATTTATTTTTCATATCAACATGGGTCTGATTCTGCTTTGTTTAGTAGCTACAGGATATTAAAGTCTTAATAATCTTTAGACTTATTATAATTTTCTTTCAAATACTTTTAGTGATTCGAATGATATTGTGAGGGTAAAAGTTACTATAAGTGCTACATATTTTAATGCTAAAAAAGTGTCGACAAATTAAAAAAAAATGCGCGCCACTGACTTTTTTTCTTTTGATATCAAAATTGTGTAGGCTGTTTAATGGCAATCAAAAGTTATCTCTTGAAATTTTGTCGAATTCGGCCTCCTTGATGAGATAAACGCAATTTTATTAATGACAATTAGTAAAATTAAAATAAAAATGATATTAATAAATTATATATTTTACTTAATTTATTATTAAATATTATTCCTATTAGTTATTATTACTATTAGTCCAACCTACAGCAATTTCAAATAAAAAATAATGGTATTTAAAAAATTACTAAAAAAAATTATTTTTAAAAAGTTTTAACGTCCCTGTAACTCCAAAAATTATACATTTCCATACCCATGTTTATATGAACTTTTTTCATATTTTTTGATGAGGAATCAACGAGTACTTAAAACTTTCGCAAGTTAATGATATTAAATTTTTTAAGGGTTGCTATTAGACTTGGATGAAGGCAACTTAATAAAATTGACTTTATCTCCTCAACGAGGCCAAAATCGACAAAATATCAAGAGACAACTTTTAATCGCCATAAAACTGCTTATACTATTTCACTGCACAGAGAGAAAGATTTAATTTATATAAGTGGGAGATATTTCTGATAATTAAATAATTTAATTCGTATCGGGCAATTAAATATGTAATTAAAGGAATTCAATTATTTAATTGGTTAATTTAGTTGGTTAAAGAAAATGATATTTGCTATAACGTCGGTGATATGTGATAAACTGCTAACTCCATTATTCCTAATTTTACAGGAGAGCAATAAAACGGTACAAAAACATATGTACACATGTAGGAAGTATTTTAATGTGTTAATATGATAAAGAGATAAAAATTTTATTTGCTGGGGAACAATAAAACTCAATATTGCGAGTTACTTAATTTTTTTCAGACACAATAGGGAGATAGCAGATATTTGTCTTGCAGAAATAAGAAATAAAATTATGTTTCTGGAGATAACAACCTTTATTTTTTGAAAT